TTTGAATACTTGGGAATTTAAATTTTGGAAAGAAAAGTACAATTAACTTCAACAACTAAATAACTGGATTTTTGGTTTTGCGGATACCTTGGGGTCCCAAAACTGCCTATTATAGAGACTTAACATCTTTTTTAACTATTAACTTTGGAAAACATTTGTTTTTTCTTTGTTTTTTAACCGATAAAAGGCTATTCGGCATTGGGGAAAGGATTTTGTGGTCTGCTGGGGACATCTTGTGGCGAAATCTGGCATAGCAACTGATTTTTTTTCTTTCAACTGTGCTTGTTGACTTCTTTGATTTGCCCTTCATACATCAAAAAAGATAAGAAGTGGAAACAGCTGGTGGTGACAATAACTTCTCTAAAGTGTGGAGGTGGACATTGGCTGATTCTCACTAAACATAGCCTCCACTAAAGGACTATCTCTAATCACCATGGAAATGGAGGAGCCTTATCCACAACTTAATTATAAACTTATCCTTGAAAAAATACTTGATGCTACTGAGCTAATGAACTCAGGAGTGAAAGCCAAGGATATTCTCACAAAACTACAAATTGAACCCCAGACACAAACCGACCAACTTACAAGCCAAAAAATAACAGAAGAGGAACAATTTAACATCAAAGAGGATTTTACACAACAACATGTACAATCTGCTGAGAACTTTGATATTTTAACACTGACTCTAATTACAGTACCTGTAACTCCAAAAGCAGCAGGAATTGATCAACAAACATGCTACATTGAGAGGGCTTTTCAACCAGTGGTACGGGTACCACCTGTGGTACATTGGCACCTGGCAGGTGGTACGCGACCATCCTAGAAAAGTGGTAGCGGGGGAGGGGAATGAGCTGAACCGGTGGCAGCACTGCCTGAGCGAGAGAAGGCTGGAGCTGCAGGGCTGTCAGGGCTCAGCAGAAGCGCCAGGATCAGTGTCACTTTCCAGCTGATCGGCACTTCGGGGCTGTCAGGGCTCAGTGGAAGCGCCAGGATCAGCGCCAGGCTCCGGCTGGAGCTCGGCGCTGATCCTGGTGCTTCTGCTGAGCCCTGAAGAAGCACCAATCAGCTGGAATATTGCAGCATCTCCAGGGTCTTGTGATTTACATTCAGATGCTTGGCAATTGATTCATATTTATGACGGTCACAGTGTCCCAGTGTGAAGTGAAGTGGCCAAAACCTGATGCAACCACCCAGCAGACGGGGGGGAATAAAAACCAAACACCCCCACCCCACCCCCGCTGCCAATCCTCAACAGAAATGCTCACAACAATGAAAACCTCGGACAGGAGGAAGAGCACCAGGCGGGCAAGCAGGTGTCTTGCACGGCTGTGGCTTTGGGGGTCATTTTTTTCAGTGCCATTCATTGTAACTTCAAACAGTCACTAAGTGAACTGTTGTAAGTCGAGGACTACCTGTACTTTATCACTTTTTTCCTCTTTTTTTTTTTTTGGTCATCAAGTTTTTGACACCTTGCTAGGCGACTGGTGGTACTCGGATGTTGCCATATCCTAAAAGTGGTACAATGGGTGAAAATGTTGAAAAGCCCTGATTTAGATAACCAAACAACAATTACAACACTGGACATGACCTTTTATTCTACTCAGACGGAACTGCAAGAAGAAGACCAGACTGAACCGATGATAAACATTTTAAACCCAACATGGAGACTTTAATTATTAGGGCAACAACCTAATAACTATAAATGGGCCAGTTCTTTTGAAAGATTGATAACTGGATGTCCTCCCTTGATTCAAACAACAGATGTGGGAATGAAGGGAGACACATCTGAGGTTTTAGAGGCACTGGCATGGAAACCTGCCTGGCACAAAAAGAAAGCTAGAGTTAGATTTAAAAATGGGATTTAGAAATCCACCTAATGGGTTAAGCAGCTTTTTAGAGATAATGATTGTTTCAATATTAAGGATTTAGACTTATAATGGGAATTAAATTATCTGTTAGATTATAGTTTTAATTGTTATATGGAAATAGATTTGTGACAAGGAAAGATATTTTGTTACTAAATGAGTTACTAGGAGGAGAAACAATATATTTGTCAATAAAGTAAGAAGGTAAATTCTGGAATAATATGTGTATTTTAGTTATGTTAATTACCTTATAATGAAATGAGGGAAATTAAGGATATCCAAAGCTTAAACATTGGTTATAAAAGGCTAAATTGGAATATGTTAATTGGAATTAAATAAAACCTAAAAACAGGACTTGGATATGTATAACCAAAATGTTATTGATAAATGTATTGATGGATTGAGCTTTAGCTAGAAATCTATTAATATGAATATGATATAATATTTGTGGGAAATAGAGAGGGAACTTTTATTGATGTAACCTGAGATATACATGAATGATTTTGTTATTGGACTATTGATTACCCTATCACCACGCTGCTTCCTAAATACTTGGATGTAAAAATTTGGAATATTAATAAAACTTGTTTTAAAAAAAACTAAAAAAAAACTAAAACCAAGGGGATGGATAGCAGGGGGATGAGTTCTTCTTACCACAACAAGCACCTGTGGAACCCCAAGCCAGCTGGCAAAATCAGGTTTTGAGGACCTGGAAGGCCAAGAAGGTGGGAGCAGAACTCACTTCTGGTGATAGAATATTTCACTGGGCAGGGGCTACAGCAGAAAAGGCTCTCCTCTTTGACCTTGTCAGCTGTAACTCGAATACTTTTCAAGAGTAACCCCATGTAGAATGAGTAGGCTGCAGTAATTGCATTCACATTTATGCTAAACTCCAGGACTTAATCCATGGTGGCTTGGCTTGACAACAATGTACCAACAAAACACTGGACTTGGACATTCCTGTATAGGTAGTCCTCGAGTTAGGCCCACAATTGAGCCCAAATTTCTGTCGCTAAGCAAGACAGTTGTTAAGTGAATTTGGTCTCATTTTACAACCTTTCTTGCCACAGTTAAGTAAATCATTGCCGTGATTAAATTAGCAACACAGTTGTTAAGTGGCTTCCCCATTGACTTTGCTTGTCAGAAGGTTGCAAAAGGCGACCCCGGGACACTGCAACCATCATAAATATGAGTCAGTTGCCAAGGGTCTCAATTTTGATCACGTGACCTGTAAATATGAAAAACTGTTCTTTTTTCAGTGCCATTATATCTTCAAATGGTCACTCAATTAACTGTTTGTAAGGCGAGGACTACATGCAGTGGGAGCAAATGTAGCAGAGATCATGTGAGCCTGCATTGCTCTTTCAAAACATTTCAGCATCATTCCTACATCTCACAGAATAGTAGGAAGACGTTGGCCTTAAGAGGAGGATTCAAAGATGGTAACCCAAGCGGAAGGCACATCAGGAATAGCTTAGAGCGGGGGTCCTCAACCTTGGCAACTTTAAGACTTGTGGACTTCAACTTCCAGAATTCCTCAGCCAGCTTTGCAAAGCTGGCTGATGAATTCTGGGAGTTGAAGTCCACAAGTCTTAAAGTTGCCAAGGTTGAGGACCCCTGGCTTAGAGTACCAGGAATGTGCCCAGGAAGGGTGGGGACTGAGGGCAAATTAATTCTAGGAGAACTTGTTCACCCTTTTTTTTTTTTTTTTTTTGCATCCATGCCAACAATCACAGAAAGAAAAGGAAAATAGGTCTAAGAAAGGCCACAGATCAAATTCCACCACCGATTCACTCGTTCTTAGAGCACACACCCCTCCTTTATCTTATACAGTATAGCATGGAAATGAGGCCATCTCTCACTTCCCTGGCCTCCATTAAAATATTTGGCTAGAACATTAGAACAACCCGATGTTGTGCCAATGACTTAAAGTTGGCATTTCTTGCCAAATCCTTACAGCTGATCTTTCTTTTGTGGGACTTGTCTCTTTGTTTGCATACCTGCTGTTAAAACAGTGAGAGATGTCTGGGGGAGCATAAAGGTTGCCTTGATAACTTGTCATCTACCTCCAAGAATTTAATGCTGAATTAAGTTGTTGTTCTCCTCTGACAACTAAAGCTTCTAGTACAGTAGTAGAGGGATGGGTAGCTTGTGATTTTAGACCTTGGCAACTTTAAGATGGGTGGAATTCAAGTCCCAGAATTCCCTAGCCAGATCTTCTGCTGATTTCAAGAGCCTTCCTCAAGCCAAATTTAAGTGTAGGTTTCTACATGGGTCCTCCTGCAGGAGAGGATTTTAAAAGTAAAAAAAATCAAGAAAATGGCTGTGACTGCATGATCAAAGCCCACCGCTTTTTAATGTGAATTGCGCACGTAGTGAAAGGGGTGGGGCTACAGTTGTGTGGGCGTGGCCACATTGATTCTCCGTCCATTTAGATTTAGAATATTCCCCAGAATATCCCTCAGAATGTTCCCCAATCTCACAAGAGATAAAAAGATGATAAACATACTAAAGGAAAAAGAAACAAGGGGGTGATAATGATGGTTTCACATACTTTTGGTCCTGAAATCACCCCTCTGTTCCCTTCAGTTGTTTATTTATTAGATTTTTATCCCATATTTATTACTTTATGATAATTCAAGGCAGTGAACCTACTTAATACTCCTCCCTCCTATTTTCCCTATGACAACAGCCCTGTGAGGTGGTTTGGGGTGAGAGAGTGACTGGCCCAAAGTCATCCAGCTAGCTTTCATGCCTAAAGCAGGACTAGAACTCACAATCTCTTGATGATTGGCCAAAAGTCACCCATTCGGCTTTCATCTAAGGTGGGACTACAACTCACAGTCTCCTGGTTTCTAGGCCAGCATCTTAACCACTACACCAGGGGTCTTCAAACTTGGCCCTTTTATGACTTGTGGACTTCAACTCCCAGAATTCCTCAGCCAGCCTGGCTGAGGAATTCTGGGAGTTGAAGTCCACAAGTCATAAAAGGGCCAAGTTTGAAGACCCCTGCACTACACCAAACTAACGTTGTGGCCTATTTATTACAAAGGAAGCACTCCCCTCAGGAGAAAAAGAAAGTTGATCATTCTTTACCAAGTGCTTTTTTATTTTTATTTGTTTTGCTGAGTGTTAATGAGAGAATTGTCCTCCTCCTTTGTCTTTTTGTTCTGATTATTCAGGAGGTGAATAATGAAAATGTCAGTGTTCTACAAGCAGGATTGTAGCAAAACAATAGCCTCGCATTATCTTCAGTCCCTTGCTTCAGTATGTAATATGTTAGTCAGCTACTGAAAATGCCCCACACCGGTAACAATTTTTTTTTTCAAAATTACAGCATACACAGGTAAAATACACTTTGAGTTTCCTATCTTTTACATTCATCTCCTTTTTCTCTCTCCATTCCCCACCAGAAATGTCAACGATGATTCTAAAATAACATAACAATTTATGCATGGGAAGGTGGTGGCGGGTGAGCATTCAGGTAATGTCGAAGGAGAGTTGGGTAGTCAGACATGATTCCGGAGACTCCATAGCTAAAGGCTTCTTCAAACTCGTTTTCTTCATTCAAAACCCAAAGAAGAACCTAAATAGAAAGAGAAAAAGGGAAAAATACAATCACAGAATGCAAACCCTGGAAATAAAATGACAAAAGTCAAGGCAGTACCAAGAATAAGAGGTGCCTTTGCTGCAATCCCAAAATTTCTGGAGCAACTCTTGAACACCATCGATATTGACAAAATCACCATCGGTCAGTTGCATGAGGCAGCTTTACTTGGAAGATCCTGCGCTGATGCTTTTAACGCCACCAAACAACTGTAATACAGATAGACCTCGAACTTACAACAGTTTGTTTAGTGACCGAAGTTACGACGGCAGTGGAAAAGTGACTTATGACCGTTTTTCACACATACGACCGTTGCAGCGTCCCTATGGTCATGTGATCAAAATTCAGACGCTTGGCAACTGACTCATATTTATGACCATTGCCGTGTCACGTGATCCCCTTTTGTGACCTGACAAGCAATGGGGAAGCCAGATTCACTTAACAGCCTTGTTACTAACTTAACAACCACAATGATCCACTTACTAACTGTGGCAAGAAAGATTGTAAAATGGGACAAAACTCACTTAACAAATGTCTCGCTTGACAACAGAAATTTTGGGCTCAATTGTCGTAAGTCATGGACTAACTGTATCTGCCTATCCTAAATTCTTGCCAAATCCCGTCTAAATTCTGGCTGACTCTGCAACCAACCATAATAATAATGCAGACAGTCCTTGAGTTACAACCACAATTGGGACCACAATTTCTTTTGCTGAGCCAGACAGTTGTTAAGGGAATTGTGCCCGATTTTTGCCACAATTGTTAACCAAATTACTGCAGTTGTTAATTGAATCCTGTCATCATTAAGCAAATCCAGTTTCCCCCATTGACTTTCCTTGTCAGAAGCCAGCTGGGAAGGTCACACGTGGCAATCACATGACCTCAGGATGCCTGCCACCACTGTAAATACATGCCAGTTGCTAAGCACCTGAATTTTAATCATATGATTGTGGGGATCCTGCAACAGTCATAAGTGATGACTGGATCAGTCATTTTTTTCAGTGCCATTGTAACTTTGAACAGTCACTAAATATATGCTTGTAAGTCGAGGACTGCCTTTATATAAAAGGCCACGCTTCTTGAATCCACAAATATGATATGCCGGTACATTATGAAATCCTAGGTTCTCGATGCATATGAAGGCCAACAACATCAGCTAAAAAACTGACAGCTGTGACGACTGCAGGACTTGGGTTTAGCTAGTCTAAAGAAAAGAAGAAACGGGCAACATGATAGCAGTATTCCAGTATTTGAGGGGCTGCCACAAAGAAGAGGCGGTCAAGTTATTCTCCAAAGCACTAGAGGGCAGGACAAGAAACAATGGTGCTCTGTCTGTCTGCAGAGGCACCACTAGGGGGGTGCTGATTGTGTTTGTGGGTACTTCAGCGAAGTTCACACTTTGTCCACTAGAGCAGGGCTTTTCAACCGGTGGTACGCGTACCACTTGTGGTACATTAACGAGTGGCAGGTGGTACGCAGCCCTGCCTAGCCAAGTGTAGTGGGGGATGGAAAGAGCCAGCGCAGGCAAGGACTTACTGTGAGAGAGTCCTCCGGAGCTACAGAGTTGCTGGGGTGAGGCAAAGGCCCCAGGCTCACTTCTGGCTCACCCTCCCCCATGAGAAAGGAGGAAGAGGGGGGGCGGAGACAGGAGAGGCTATAAACTTTTAAGATATGGCAATATTCGAGTATCACCTAGCAAGGTGTCAAAAACTTGACCAAAAAAAACAAAAACCCTGTTCAAAGTTGCAATTGCACTGAAATGACTTGACCATTTTTCATACTTATGACCATTGCAGCATGCCCAGGGTCATGTGATTTATATTTGGATGCTTGGCAACTGATTCATATTTATGATGGTCACAGTGTTCCAGGGTCATGTGATCCCCTTTTGCAACCTTTTGACAAGCAAAG